ATTTCTGCAGAGATGCCCAGGCCATGAGCACAAACCACTGCCCCAGTCTGACAATGTGTTGGAAAAACCCCTAAGGAAGATTCCTGCCCATTCCTGAAAGCTGGTGCCTCTGGGACAGCAATTCCTCCCCATTCACCCCAGGTTTCCAGCCTTTTTGTGAGGTTGGCTGAGCATCTGCTGGTGATTAAAGGTTTTGTCATCTGGAAAGAGCTGACAATTACCTCCAATTATTCCAACTAGGTCAGGTTCTTCAGCACGAGTTTATGTGATGACTCTTGGCTGGAATTTAGGATTTCAAACTCCAGTGGAGAGCAGAATCCACTTCTCCTCTCTCACACTCAGGAAAAAATTCTTTCCATAAATAACAGCTCCTTGTCCCACAGGACCTGACCTGTGTGTCCCTGGCCTCCTGTTGTTTCAGGACAACACCCCAGGAACCACACAACAGGCCTGGTTGCTGGTTGTCCAGAACTGGGAAAGGGAGTGAAGGGAATTTCAGGATGCTCCAGGAATTTCAAGGAGGGTTTTCTCATCAAACTTTCCATGTCAAAACTCCCAACTTCCTTGGAAATGTCCTTTGGGGCCTCAGGTGCCAGGTGAGAGAGTGGGGACTGAGGTTTAGACTCTGTGTGGGCAAAGGGTGCCTCATTCCTTTTCCTGGGATCCACTGTCCTGGACAGGCTCTAATTTCCCACTGGGAACTTCTCATTGTGTGAGCAGCAACCACTTCACAGGGGCTGCACTAAAGTCCTTTAAAGATTCCTGCCAAGCCCAGCTATTCCAGGGCTTTTTGAACAGTTGAACTTCTCCAATCCCACAGCAGACTGGGGCTGTCTGTCCCCCATCTCCAGGGAAGAGTTTGTCCAGGTGCCCCTCAAAAGCTCAGAGCTTCTCCGCACTCCCAGTTCCCATTCAAGACTCAACTCAACGTGCCTGGAAAGCCTCCTCAGGAATCTCCTGCAGAGCAGGAAAAGCGGAGAGAATTGAGCACCCAGAATCCCGTTTGTGGCTCTGCCCGTGCCAGGTTCTGTCCTTGTCACCCTGCCACCCTGGCCAGCACAGGTGCCCCGTGCTCAGCTTCCCACCAAGATTCCCTTGGGGGCAGGAGCGTGTCCCACAAAGCCCAGCTCGGAGCACACCCCAGGAATGAGATGGTCCAAATGGGACAAGCACGACTGGAAAATGTGCGGCACTGCAAGGCCAGGAGATTCCAGCTCCTTCTCCCTAATTACATGTGATTGCTTCTTGGCAAGAGCTCAACCTGCCAGAGCAGTGAGGTTTTACAAACATTCACACAGGCATTAGATCATTGTTTGAAGGAGTTATTGGCAGCCCAAATCTGAAGTGAAAACAGAGTTTAAAGCAGACCATATTGACCAGGGTGAAGCTGGCTGTTTTCATGCCTCCTGCTCCTCGCTGGACACCCAGGACCCCGTTCATTTCCTGTCACTCCCATCACCATGGCATTCCTGGGGCTGGATGTCACCGTCCTGGGGGCTCCTGTCCTTGTTAGCAACACAGCTTTAGAGAATCAAGAATCCCAGGATGGTTTGGATTGGAAGGGACTCAAATCCCATCCAGTGCCACCCCTGCCATGGACAGGGACACCTTCCCCAGTCCCAGGTGACTCCAAGCCTCATCCAGCCTGGCCTTGGGCACTTTCCAGGGATGCAGGGGCAGCCCCAGCTGCTCTGGGCACCCTGTGCCAGGGCCTGCCCACCCTCCAAAAGAGGAATTCCACCCCAACATCCCATCCATCCCTGCCCTCTGGCAGTGCAAAGCCATTCCCTGTGTCCTGGCACTCCAGGCCCTTGTCCAAAGTCCCTCTCCAATATTTATTTCTCTATGTCAGAGAAACACCTTCCCACATCCAAACGTGCATTGGGAACAACGTGTTTCAACAGAAATTTGTATTTCTTTGCATTTCAACAGAAATTTGTATTTCTGCTCTGCTCTCGTGAATTCATCCTTGCCTCTGCTGGGCCAGTTTGACATCATGGGATGAGCTCTGGAGAGCTCTGCCACCCTCTCCCAAAACCTTTGGGAAAGAAGGCGGGGGCTCAAGCCCGTGGCAAAGGACAAAGGGGAATTGCCACAGGATCCTGCTGCCAGCCCCTGGGAGAACAAGGCCTGCTGCAGGGTGGGTCTGTCCTGCACTGCGCTCAGGTGGGGCTGGATATGGATAAAAACACCCCAGGCTCTGGCAGCTGAGCAGGCTGGGGCTCCTCACAGAGCAGCTCCCAGCCCAGAGCCCTGAGGACACCCTGGCTTTCCTTCCACGTGTTCCTAAATTAGATCTCCTGAGACCAGCCCTGGCTTTTAAAAGGGAGGTGAGCTTGTTAGTGCCCAGCATTATCCCTTAAATGGGAATCAGCAGTTTTACTGCACTTGGAGGGGCTGTAAAAGGCAAGGAGGGAAGGGGCAGCAGAGCCTGGCACGGAGGGGCCACTCAGGAGCTCTGTAATTGTGAATTTACCAGTGCTGAGGTAGAACAAGCCCCAGATTAAACTCAGGAGCCTTGTGAAGGTGCAAGAAGACGCAGAGAAGGTTTTAGGGGCAGCTCCCCAGCAGGCCCCTTCTCCTGAGGCCAAAACCCCGGGCTGGAAAGGGTCTGAGAGAGGATTGCCAAGCTCTCCACCCATGAAAGTCAGGGTGTGCAGGCTCCTCTCTCCCCAGATCATGGCCTGACTTACACACCCCTGTGCTGCTGGCACAGGAAACCCAGGGAAGTCACATTACAGGAGGAAAAAAAGCTCCTGTGCTGTCAGAGATTCCCTTCCCAGCCTGCCCAGGGATCAGGGATACCAGCTGGAAAAGGCTCTCCTGACACTGCTCCAGGGTCCCCTTGGCCAAGGGGATCTGGGGTGTAGTTGTGTCTGTTCCCATGTTCCCAGAGAGCTCCCGTCTTGTCCTGGGGATACAAATTAATAAGGAAATAAATTAATCGAAAGTGGTGTCTTTTGGTTACAGAGATAGCCCCAGAATCTGAACATAAATGATGGAGAAATGTCTGTGAGCTCTGAGAGCTGCCAGGCACCAACTAAACCTGTCCTGACAAGGCCATTTTGGAATCACAACCCAAAATCAAAAGGACAAACCAAACACAAACGACACAGGAATCATCCTGGAAAAGCTCTCAGGAATCTGCCATCGTGTTTTAGAAAGAATGCGGAATTTCTGCTGCTTTAAACTGATTTTACAGTGCAAACCTGGTGTTGCAGCAGCGGCTTTAGGAAAATCTGAACCAACAAAAAGCTTAAACACCTTTTTTAATATTAAGCAGTCCCACTCCCTGGGAGGATTTAGTGATTACTGTCACCCTAAAATATGGGAATTTGCAGGAGAGCTGACGTCCTTCCTAAGGTCAGATGTGATGAGATGGAGCCAGGAAGAAAAAATAATTGGTCCTGGTTTTAAGTGTTAAGCAATTCTGCCTCCCTGAAATAAGCAGTATAATTTATTGTTTTTTCTTGCTTACACAGCAAAATCCACAAACTACCAAGACAACCAGGAGGGGAAATTTGTCCCCTCACTTAAATCCATTTTTGCCTTGTAAAGCTGCATTCCCAAGCCAGCAGCTGCTCCAAAGGGCCGATCCCAGACCCCCCATTCCTCTGCAGACACCCCCGAGGCTGTTTGGGTTACAGGATCACCCCGGGACAGCCCAGGTGTGCTCGCCAGCTGGTTTGGGACCACGGGATGGACACACCAGAGCCGGCTGCCAGCGTGAGGCCGAAGGCAGCCGCCACTTTCCCAGGGATTTTCCCTTTGCTGTGTGTTTGGAAGGTTACACAGCTGTGTAAGGCAGACGCAGGAGGAGCTGGAAGCCTGCAGGGATCATTGCCTCCATCCCACATGTCCCATGGAAGGAAGCTCTCCGGTGGAGTGACATCCCATTAACTCCTGCTGGTGGGAGCCGATTCCTGCGGCTGGAAATCCTTTGGAGCATCCAGCTGCCAGCTGCTCATCCTGCAGATAACTCCGGTCCCATCCCTGACCTGGTGACTCCTATTTATTTTCTCATTTTATAAGAACCAGGTTCTTCCCTGCTCTCATTCCTGGTGGGAATGAGCACTGACCGGGTGTGAGGCTGCTCTCTCTCGGATACCCGAGATGGAAAACTGGGATCTTGTCCAGCAGGCTGTCTGTCTTCCTGGGAAAAACCTCGGCTCCACACGCTCCCAATCGTGCCATCAGCTGGAGCAAGGTGGAACTTCACACGATGGGACGAACCAGCCCTTTTTTCCAAAACCACCTGTGAGGACACAAAGTGCTTCCAGAGCCCGGGAGAGCTCAGGGAGGGAAATCTGGAGGGCACAAAGCCTGGCAAAGCTTGGGAAAGGGCTTGGTGCTCTCTGGAAGGTGGTGGATCTCTGCCTAGGTCCCCATCAAATCCAAGAGATGCGATACTGGGAAGGAATTCTTCTTTTTGAGGGTGGGCAGGCCCTGGCACAGGGTGCCCAGAGCAGCTGGGGCTGCCCCTGGAGCCCTGGCAGGGCCCAAGGCCAGGATGGGGCTTGGAGCAGCCGGGGAAGTGCGTCCCTGCACAGTGGAAGGTGTCCCTGCCGTGGCAGGGGTGGCCCAGGACGATCTTTAGGGTCCCTTTCCCACCCAAACCCCTCCATGTCCGCCTCCCTTTCCCGCCATCGGCCCAGCCCTCCGGGCCTCACCCCCGGGGTCTCCCGGCCCCGCGCGCAGGGGCTGCGAGCGGCGGGACGCGCCGGGACCAGGCGGGGGCGCCACCGTCCGCGAGACCCGATGCGCATGCGCACGGCGCCCCCCCTCGCTCGGTGGAGCGCGGGAAGGCAGCGACGGGCGGGACCATCAGGGGGCACGGTGGGGGGGTCTGTAACGGCCACGGGGCGCCGGTGTGAGGTCTGGAACCCTCCGAGGCTCCGGTGTGAGGGCTGTGAGGCCCGGGGTTCCGGTCCGCGGCCGCCTCAGCCCGGGGAACGCCGCGCAGGGAGCAGGCGCCCCTCGTTAATCACGGCGCTCCCCCCTCAGCCCACGTCCGACATGGCCGCCCACCCCTCAAGCCCGCCGTGTCCGTGACGGCCCCGCCCCGGTGGGCGCTGAGGGCCGGGGTGGGGCAGAGGGCGAAGGGACCGGCCCTGGGGCAGAAAAGGGACCAACCCCAAGGGCAAAAAAGGGTCAAACGCAGGACAAGAGAAAGATTGTTCTGGAACAGCAAAGGGACTGGCTCTGAGGGTGGTGAAGGGACCGACCCCAGGGGCAGCTCAGCCATCGCAAACACCCCAGTTATTATAGGGACGGAGCCTCAAGCCCTTTTATTGCCCATTCCTGGCAGCACTGGTGGCTCCGCACTACTGGTGTGGGACAAGGGACGGGATCAGGCCTGGCATGGGGACAGCGGCCCTGCCTGACTGTCACAGCCCCACCCAGGGTGTCCCCGAGGCCGGCGGGCTCCAGGCGCTGAATTCCCCGGAATCCGTGATGTCCTTGGCGGCCACCTGGATGTGGTGGAGGCTGCCGGGCTCCAGGTCCGTCAGGGTGTGGGATGTCAGCTCGTACGGCCCCACCTGGGGACAGCGGGGTCAGGGACACGGCGGGCACAGCCACAGCTGTGCCTCAGTTTACCCAGGGGGGTGGCAGTACCGTGGTGGGGACGGAGTCGTTGTCCCGGGAGTAGCGGATGCGGTAGTGGAGCGGGAAATACTCCGGGAATGGCCAGGAGGATGGAGGGCTCCACTCCAGCAGCAGCTTCTGGGGCTCCCCAGGGATGGGGGAGACCCGCAGGGCCTCGGGGGGGTCCGGCTTTACTGGGGAGACAAGGAAGAAGAGAATTCCAGGATGGTTTGGGTGGGAAGGGGCATTGAGGATCATCTCATCCTACCAGGGACACCTTCCACTATCCCAGGTTGCTCCAAGCCCCTGTCCAGCCTGGCCTTGGACAGTCCCAGGGATCCAGGGGCAGCCACAGCTGCTCTGGGAATTCCATTCCAGGGCCTCACCGCCCTCACAGCCAAGAATTTTTTTCCAATATCCCATCTAAATCCTCCTTTAGATTAAAACCAACCCTCTGTCCCACCACTGCATGGAAAAAGTCACTTTCCTTCATTTTTAGACAAAGGGGGGATATTGTGGCTGCGGGATCCAGCATGGGATTGTTGGGGACAGGGCCCTCACGTCCCCCTGTGAGCTGTGCAGGACAGTTAGAGCCCCAGCAAATCATGGCTCTGATGATCCCACATCCCAAGCAGGGGAGAGCCCCAAAGGGTGAGACAGGAGGGTCCTGCAGGGGACCCCGGTGTCCCCATCCCGCAGCACTCACTGATGTTCTCCAGCAGGAAGGGCAGCGCTCCGGAGGCGGCTCCCAGGGGGTTCCGGGCGGTCACGTTGAGCTCGTAGGGAGTGAGGGAAAAAACCTGCAGGTCCCCAAAGGAGCAGCTCCGCGGGCCCGTGAGGGTGCACTCACCTGTGTCTGTGCCGTGCCTGGGGACACAGGGACAGCTGCCAAGGGCTGGGTGACACGGGGAGAGCCTTTGGGGACCCCCACTCACCTGTAGGTGGCCACAAAGTCAGTGTCCAGCAGGGGCTCGGGGCTCAGCCCCCAGGAGCAGTTCACAGCCTGGGGGTAGCTGGTGGCCCAGCACTCGATGGCCGGTGGCGGGGGCGGGTCTGGGACAGGGGACAGGGGACAGGGGTCACCCCGCTGCCAGCACCCCCAGGGACCCCTGGCCAGCAGCGGGGTCACAGCAGGGCTGGGGGGCACTCACAGCCCAGCCGCAGGCAGATGCTGGCCCAGGTCTCGCCGGTGACAGGGTGGTGGCAGCTGTAGTGGCCCTCGTGGGCCAGGCTGGCGTTGGGCAGGGCCAGCCCCGGGGCTGGGGACGTGCCCAGGACGGTGTCGCCCCGACGCCACTCAGCCTCACCCCCCGGGCACAGCAGCAGCACCTCCGTGCCCAGGGAGCCGTGCTGAGGGGTGCAGGGGCCTGGGGACACATGGGGACACGGCAGGGACACTGCATCAGGAAGGGTCTCAGCCTCCCTGGGCCCCCAGTGCCATTTCCAGTGTCCCCAGACCCCCAGCTCTGCCCCTGGTCCCCCCATGTCCCCAGACCCCCAGGCATCATCAATCCCTCCATGGCCATCTTGTGTACCCCAATGTCCCCAGGCCCTCCAGCATCCCCACACTTCTCTCCCTAGAGACCCTGTCATTGTCCCCTGTCCCCCCACTGTCCCAAATCCCCTCCATCTCCAACCCCAGTGCTCCCAGTCTGCCTAGTCCTGCTGCATCCCCAGATCCCCCCAGCCTCCATCCCAGTCCCCCCAGTCCCCCCTACCTCTGTCCCCGTTGTCCCCATCCCCAGTGCTCCCCGCCGTGCCATTGTAGGGGACAGTGCAGGCAGGTGCCACCAAAGCCATGACCCAAAGCCACCTCATGCCAGGAGACTCAGCGGGGCTGCCCAGGCACCTGTGGGGACAGGCAGGACGGTCAAACCCCAGCACTGGGGACAGCACAGACACCACATGTCCCCAGGGGGACAGGGACATCACCCTGGGACCACCCCACACTGCCTCAGTTTCCCCCCCGGCCCTGCCACACACCCTGCAGAGGGATGGGTTCCAAAGGGGTCAGACCCTACAGCCAGGACAGAGGGGGGGGAAAATTCCCACTGTTCCTACAGTTCCCAGGGGGACGTGCAGCCACCCCTGCAGTCCCACACCTGGAGTCAGGGGTTTGTATCCCTCGGCTGGGTCCCCACCTCCACCCAGGGCAGGACTGTCCCTCACAGAGCCCCCCAAATCCCAGCCTGGGGGCCGAGCTGAGCTCCCTGCTTTCCCCAAGGGCAGCACTACAGGGACAGGTCCTGCCCCTGTCACCTCCCGCCGCAGCCAAGGGCTGGCTCACCCCCAGAGGGGACACGCTCCGCTTTCCCTGGACTGGGGGGTGCCCCAAACCCCGCGCTGTGGGGTCACCCCAGACCTCCAACACCCCCTGCTCTGCCCGTGGGGATCCCAATGCCCCCAAACGCTCACCGCAGCAGGGCCAGCTGGGACCGCAGCGTCCCCGCCGGATCCCGGCGCTTCCCAGCCCATTTCCTCGCAGGAAGTGCCGTTCCCGTGGGGACGGAGCCGCTTCCCAGCGTGCTGCCCCCCCCGCCCCGCGCCCCTGGAAAAGGGATTCCAGCCCTGGCCAAGAGGGTTCCCACCTCTCCCCTGCCACCACTCCCTTCCTCCACGGTCACCTTTCCCCTCAAGGGACAGCAGGGCTGGAGATGGTGACACTGATCCCCTGCTGTCCCCAGGTCCCCACGACCCCCCAGAGAGGAGCCACCCCATTAGTGTGACTATAAATAACTTTATTGCTGCTGTGCTGGGGGTGGGCTGGGTGCCCGGACAAGCAAAGGGACACACAAGGTGCTGTGACAGACCTGTCCCCCCTGTCCCTGTGCCACCCGTGCTGGCAGGGGCTCATCTGCCCTGCTCCTGCAGCCGCTGCATCCTCAGGATCTGGCACAGGAGTCTCTGCACGTCCTCGTCCATGTGGCCCTGGGGTGGAGGGGACATTGGTGGGCACATTGGAGTGGGGACATCAGGGAGGCTCCGTGCATGTCCCTGGGCTGGCACCTGGCTCAGCCCCCACCCCAGTGTCCCCAGCTGTCCCCAGCTCACCTGCACAGCATAGAGCAGGTGGCTCCGGTAGAGCATCACCACCTTGCTGTGCCTCGTCTCTGTCTCCTGCAGCACAGGAAGGGGTTTGGCCACAGGGCTGGGGGCTCGGGGAGCCCTGAAGCCCCCAGTGACCCACCTCCAGCTTCTCCTCCAGCACCCGGATCCGCGCCTGGAGCGCGGCCGTGTTGGGTGGGGATTGTGGGGGCCCCCCCGACTCGGGGAGGGCGTTCAGGGCTTCCTTCAGCCTGAAAACCTCCTTGGAGAGCTCCGTGATCTGCACAGGGCACAGGGGTTACAGGTTACCCCGAGCAGCTGTGGCTGCCCCATCCCTGGCAGTGTCCGAGGCCAGGCTGGACAGGGCTGGAGCAGCCCGGGACAGTGGCAGGTGTCCTTGCCCATAGCAGGGGGTGGAATGGGATGAGCTTTAAGGTCCCTTCCAACCCAAATCCAGTGACTCCAGCATTCCCATCCGAGCAGCCCCTCATGATTTCCCGTCCCCTACCTTCCTGTCCCTGTCCCTGACCAGCCGTGCCGCATCCTCGGCCTGGCCGTGGAGCTCCCGCAGCCGCCTCGCCTCGTCCTGGGCCTGCTCCAGCTGCTTCTGCGCGGCGCCCAGCCTGTCCTCGGCCGCCTGCCGCTCGCTCTTCATGAACAGCGCCTGCCGCTGCACGCGGAACACCTCCTCGCACGTCTTCTCGTGCCGCCGCTCCAGCTCCTGCAGCCGCTGCGCCAGCGCCGCCGCCTCCGCCCGCAGCCCGGCCTCGGCCGCCTCGTGCTGCGCCCGCGGCACGGCCGCCGCCAGCTCCGCCTGCAGCCGGGCGGCCTCACGGGCCTTGGCGTCGGCCGCGGCCTCGAGCTGCGCCAGGCGCTCCCGCAGGGCCCGCGCCTGCTCCTGCAGCGCCGCCGTGCCGCGGGCGTGCTCCTCCCGGGGCACCCAGCCCTCAGCCCGCGCCCGCTGCAGCCACGCCGGGGCCGCCTCCTCGTGCTCCCGCAGCCGCTCCCGCAGCGCGCCCAGCTCGGCCTCCCTGCGCGCCAGCGCGGCCCGGAGCTCTGCCAGCTGCGCCTCGGCCTCCGCCTGCTGCCGCGCCGGCTCCGGAGCTCTGGGCGCGTCCCGCGGCCTCGCCTCCAGCTCCCGCCGCAGCGCCTCCGCCTCGGCCTCGGCGCGCCCGCAGCGCTCCAGCAGCGCTTCCTTCTCCCGCGACGCCTCTTCCACAGAGGCTCCCGCCGACGCCGCGGCCTCCGCAGCCTCCAGCCGGGCCTGCAGCTCCTTCAGCCGCCGCTCCCGCTCCTCCAGCTCGGTCTGTGCCCGCTTCAGGGCCGCGCGCGCCTCTGCCAGCTCCGCGCCCGGCTCCCGCTGGCCGGAGGGTGAGGAGGAGGACGAGGATGTCTGCACCCCCAGCTCGCCCAGCGCTGCCTTGCACTCGCCCCAGGCCCAGGCCGGCTCCTCGGCGGGACGGGGCCCCGCGGTTCCCTCCGGGCCAGGCTCCGAGGAGGGCGCGCACTGCCCGTCCCCTCCGGCCCGCGCCGTGGCCTCCCTGCCCTGCGCCCGCAGCCGCTCCAGCTCCCGCTGCAGGGCCTGGTACTGACTGGCGGGCACCACGTCCCCCAGGGCAGGGGGGCTGCTCTCGTCCCGCTCGTAGTTCTCCAGCACCTGCCAAGAGACCGTGAGGCCACCGTGGGCCAGGGGACAAAGAACAGAGGGACAGACGGATGGACAGAGGGGGACATGCCTGGATTTTCTCCCTCAGCTCCTTGTTCTGCACGGTCAGGGACTGCACCTGCCCCTGGAGCGTGGCCAGCAGCTCCTCGGCCGAGGGGCTCAGCGTCTTCTTGGAGAGCAGCATCTCTGCTCCTGCAGGGCACAGGGACCTGGGGCTGTGCCCACCTGTGCTGCCCTACCCAGTGCCACCTCCCCAGGGTGTCATTGGGAGGCTGGCAAGACCTACCTGGGAACTCAAGTGGGTCTCCCTCCTCGTCCTGCAGCGTCTCAATGTCGTAGCTCGTGTTCTCCTTCTCATTCTGGGGGTGCAGGGTGGAGGTGACGCCCATGTCCCCAGCCCTGGGCACTGCCAGCTGTGTCCTGCCCACACCCACCTCCATCGAGGATAGGCGGCTCCGCAGAGCCTCCACCTCCTTGCCCAGCTTCTCCTTCTCCCCGTCCCGTGCCACCAGCCTCTCCTGCAGCTCCTGGATCTGCAGGGCAGGACATGGAAATAGGGTCCCTTTGGCTCCTGGCAGAGTCCTGGTGGCATTCCCAGCACCAGGACCCCTTGGAGAGCTGAGGTCACCTCCAGGCTCTTCCCTGGCCTCACCTGTTTCTCCATGGAGCGCAGGGAGGCCTCATCCAGCTCTGCCCGCTGGCAGGACCCAGGGAGAGAACAGGGAGGGGTGAGTGCTGTCCCCATCTCCCCTGTCCCCTCTGCTCCCCGGGGACACGGTGGCATGTCCCCAGGACCCTGCAGCCCGTACCTCCCGTCTCTGCTTCTCCTGCTGCTCCAAGCCCCGGATCTTCTGCAGGAACTGGGCCCTCTCCTGCCGCAGCCGCACGATCTCCTCGTAGGCGTCCTGGTCCTCCTGCAGGGAGTCACAGAAAGCATTGAGTCCAACTCCTGGCACAGGAAACCCCCAAATCCCACTGTGTGCCCGAGGGGGCACTGACCCCCAATGAGAGGACCCCTCACTGAGGTGTTTTGGGCTGCTCTGCACCTGCCAGGCCAGGTGAGGAGCTGGGGACCCATTTCTCACCTGGCTGGGGGTGCCCAGGGGAGGCAGAGGAGCCTTCCTCTTTCTCGGGGTGCTGCTCTTCTCCCTGACAGACGACTGGCTGGGCGAAGACGTCTGTGGACACCCCAGGGCAGAGGGGACGTCACACCCACAGTGCCCTCCCTCCTTCCTGAGCCAGGGGACCCTCCAGGGACGGCCACCAGCCCCTCACCTGCGACGCCTGCTCAGTTGACTCCTCTTCTGTGGGGCAGAGTGGGAGGGAAGAGAAATTGGGGAGATTTAGGGGCTCAGAGCTCAGAGCAGAGGCACCTCGGCTGGGGACAGCCCCAAACACCCAGGAAAAGAGGACACATCCCCGCAGCCTCTGCCGGTGACACCCCCCGGTGATGGTGACAGGGAGCCCGGGGTGCCCGGCAGCCTCACCGCTGGCCCAGGAGCGGCGCTGGGCTGCCTCCTGCAGCAGGTGCTGGATGAGGGCGTTGCCCGTGGCCAGCCCGTAGTGAGCGGCATCGTGGCCGGTGGCGTCCACCACGCCCACGCGGGCACCGGCGCTCACCAGCACCTCCACGGTGTCCACGCTGCCGCTCTCGCAGGCCAGCATCAGGGCTGTCCTGGGCACGGGGAGAGCGCGGGTGAGGGGACAATGGGACAATCCCCGGGGCCACCCCGGCCCCCCAGCGCCGCAGCCCCACCTGCCCTGCAGGTCCCGGCAGTTGACGGCGGCCCCGCGGTGCAGCAGGTACCGGCACAGCTCCGAGTGGCTCATCTTGGCAGCCAGGATCAGCGGCGTGCAGCCATCCTGGGCACGGCGGGCAGGAGGGGGAGCAGAGGGGGTTCAGATCCTCCCACATGGCAGCCTGCTCCCAATATCACCCCAGTTTCCACGTCCCACCCCAGTTTCCACGTCCCACCCCAGTTTCCACGTCCCACCCCAATTTCCATGTCCCACCCCAATTTCCATGTCCCACCCCAATTTCCACGTCCCACCCCAGTTTCCACGTCCCACCCCAATTTCGACGTCCCACCCCAAGCTGTGCTGCATTTCGGGACAGCCCCAGCCTGGCACAGCAGGACCAGGAGCAGAGGGACCTCACCTTGTCCTTGCTGTTCAAGGGAGCCTTGAAGTCACAGAGGATCTCGGAGCAGGAGATGCAGCCGCTGGCAGCTGCGGACAAGGACAGAGGCTGAGCACTGCCCCCATGGGGACAGGAGCAGGACAGGGCTGGCACTGTCCCCACTCACCCGCCAGGTGCAGCGCTGTCCGGCCACTGCCATCGGCCACGTCCACGGGGCAGGAGGCCTGGGGGGAGAGCCTGGGTCACGGGAGGAGGGGGACAGAGGGACAGACTGCTCGAGCGGCTCTGTGGCACGGTGAAGGACAGGGGACTGACAGACTCTGTGGTGTGGTGAAGGAGTGGGACAGACAGACAAACCCCCTCTGGCTCCACGCTGTGGTGAAGGACAAGGGACAGACCCCTGTGGCTCCCTGGTGCCAGGCAGCAGCACACGGAGCTGGGAGCTACCATGCCAAGGCACTGGTGAGGGAAGGGGGTTCAAGGACAGGGAGGACACTTTGCTGGCACAGCACCTCCCTCCCTCCCTCTGTCCCTCCTCCCTCTCCCTGTACCTGCAGCAGTTTGCTGACACACTGAGGGTGGCCGTGCTTGGAGGCCAAGTGCAGGGCAGTGTAACCTGGGAAGGGACAAACAGGTCAGAGCACAGCCAGCAGGGCTGTGCCAGAGGGGACAGCTTGGGGACAAAGAGACAGGAACAAAGCAGGATCTGCTGGAACACGGGGACAACCCCAGGAGCTCATCAGGCACTGCTTGAGCTCCTTTAGGAAACTGGGACAATTTACAGCCCCCCCAGGTGTGGCCACCACCTCTGTCCCCTCAGCCTCAACACCTGCGGTTGACCAGTGGCTCTGTGTGGCAGGGGCACGTGGTGGCCGTGTCCTCACCCGAGCTGTCCTTGGTCATGGCATCCACGCCGTGGGCCAGCATTGCTTCCAGGCAATCCACGTTGCCCCGCGTGGCGGCCAGGTGGAATCTGCAGCGACACCAGGGGCTGTGGGGCTCTGTCCCCTGTCCCCAGCCGTGTCCCCAGGGCAGGGCCTGGCACTCACGCGGATTTGCCCTCCGAGTCCAGCTTGGTGGGCACCAGGCCCTTGCGGAGCAGGAGCGACGTGACCCGCCCGGCATCGTTGTAGTCCACGGCCTGCAGCAGCTTCTCGTCGTTCTTGGTCCAGTCCTGGCTCTGCAACAGAGCCCAGAGGAGGCTGTGACAGTGTCAGCTGTCCCCAGGGCGGGCAGGGCTGGGCTGGGCTGGCTGTCCTTGTCCCCAGCCCTGCTGCGCTCCATCCAGCCCTGTCCCTGAGGGTGGCTGTGTCTGTGCCCCTCTCCTGGGAGCTCACCCCCAGGTACTGAGAGTTCAGCAGAGATTGGGATGAAAATCCCCTCCAGCCCCCCCCAGTCTGCAGCTCACAGAGCAGGGGATTTACAGACACAGCCCAGTTTAGCTGTGCCAGGCTGGGATTTGGGAGTGAGTCCAACTGCCCCGGGGTTTGCCCCTGCCACCCTGAAATCCCACAGCTAAACCCAGCCAGCACCCATGAGAGCCCCAGCCCTGATCCCATTCCCAGCCCTGCTCTGCTCCCGGAGGAGGAAGGGATGAAACCAGGGCGAGCACAGCTGGCAGCGAGGGCAGATCCCCGGTGATGCTCCAGCCTCCCGGGATAACGGGGCAGAGCGCTGTGCCCCCCAAACAGGACCGCGGCTGGCTGGGATTTGCTCTCCCGGTGCTCCCGCACATCCCTGTCCCAAAGGAGCGACCCGCAGCGGGACAGGACCGGGACAGGGACTGCAAGTCCTGGGTTCACCCCGCAGCCCGTGACGACAAAGCGGCGCTGGCTGCGCTCGCGGCGGCAGGAAATGGATGTCACCTTTCGGGAGCCGCTGGCACCTGTCCCAAACCCGCCTGTGCCCAACGGGTGCCCCCCGAGCCCCTCCAGCCCAGCGGGACCAGGGACAGGGAACAAACCAGTGTCCCAGGGTTCTGGGCAAACTGGGAGGGTGGTGCCCGCTCCCCCCGCTCCTGGTCAGGCAAGGACAAAGCGGGATGGGGAGGACACGGGGGGAGCCCCGGGATGATGGGGATGGGGATGGGGGGCGCAGGTGGGGCGGGGGGGACGCGGCTCAGCCCGCAGGACGCGACCGGAGGGGAGCGGGAGGGGAGCGGGACGTACCGCGAAGGAGGCGGCGGCACAAAGGCAGATCTGCTTCATGGTGCTGAGCAGGAGGCGGCGGGAGGACGCCATGCGCCCCCCGCCCCTCGGCCCGGCCAGCACGGGCACCCCCGAGCCCGGAGCGCTCCGGCATCGCCGCCCGGGCGGGGGCCGGGGCTGCGGCACTGGGAGCCGGACCCGCCTCCTCCACCCCCGGCCCTGCCTCCTTCCCTCCCTCCTCGGCGCATCCCTGCATCCCTGCATCCCGCCACGGAGCGGGCAGCAGCTCCCACGCAGGGCTCCGCACCCAAACTGGTCCCAGTTAAAGCGGGAGAGATGATGGGGGGAGCAGCTGTCCCACCTCGTGCTCAAAAGCACCCCCAAAGCAGGGCTGAGCATCCTCCTGGCCCCCGAGGAGGGGGACCTGGGACCCCCCACCCTGCCCTGGGGCCAAGGGAAGGGTAAATTCGCCCTTCCTGCACCTCATGGCCCCCCCAAACACCCCTCAGAGAGGAACCCCAAAACGCAGCGGGGCCCCAGGCACTGCCCAGGAGTCCCAGTGGCAGCAGGACCTCGGGAGCCTCTCAGGACAGTGTGGGGAAACTGAGGCACGGAGCACCCCGAGCAGGATGGTCCCCCCCAGACTCCAGGTGAGGGGCTTCAAGCTGTGTCCCCATGTCCCCAGCTGTGTCCCTCCCAGTGCACTGGGGACAGCGCTGTCCCCCTCTGCCCTCTGCGGCCCCGTGCCAGGCTGCTGCTGAATAATTGAGGAGCATCGACAGGCTGGTTCCACAGGCTGTGGCAGCTGGCAAAGCGGCACTTGTCCCCAGGAAGGGGACAGGGAGGGGACCTGGCACCCGCTTCCCTGTCCTTTGCTCTGCCCCACTCCCAGCGATGGCTCTGGGAGCACTGGGGGTGCACTGGGGGCTCGATCCCACCGGCCAGGGTGGCAGTGCCAACCTCCGTGGAGCTGCTGTCCCCGTTGTGAGTGACCACCCCATGTCCCTGTGACACTGGGGGCACGCTGGGGGAAATCCCCAGGTCCTCATGTGCCCAGTGAACATCCCAGGGCAGGTGCCCGTGTCCCCACAGACATGCTGGGGCAGGTCACTGTGTCCCCATGTCCCCAGGGATGGCACTCACATCTCCCTTCTTGAACCTGGCCTTCAGGCTCTTCATGGTGGCTCAGCCTCAGCCCTGCAGCACCTGCTCGGGGGGATGATGGCCACGCTCCAGGAGGGTCTGTCCCTGCCTGGGGACAGCCCAGCGCCCCCGATCCCGGTCCCGCCGCTCCCAGCCCGTCCTGGCGCTCCCAGCGCAGCGCCCGCAGCCGGAACCGGAGCCGGGGATTGTGTTACGGCCGCGGCTGCGGTTACAGCCCCGGGCAGCCGGGGGGGCCGGCCCGGGCTGTGTTTGGGGACAGGGGACACGGCTGGGGGTGCTGGGGGTGCCTGGGGAGGGCTGGACCCTGAGGTTGGCGCCCCTTGCCCATCCCAAACGCCCCCTGCCCTTGGTGGCACCTCTTGTCCTGACCTGACCTCCCCCCTGGCTCTGCCAGCACCCCCTGCTCTTGTCAGCATCCCCTGCTCGTCCCTGGCACCGTTGTCCTTCCCTGGCATCCCCTGCTTGTCCCTAGCACCCTTGTCCTTCCCTGGCACCCCCTGCCCATCCCTATTTCCCCCTGGGCCGGGGCACTGCACAGTGTCCGGGCAGTGTCGGGAGTAATGGTTCAGGGTAATGGCAGCGTCCAGGGAGTGTCGGGGCAATGTCGGGACAGTGTCAGGCTCAGGGTGAGGGCAGTGTTGAGGGGCTGTCGGGACAAGGTGAGGGCAGTGTCCGGGCGGTGTCCGGGCAGTGCCGGGGCAGTGTCGGGGCAGTGTTCGGATACTCTCAGGCTCAGGGCAGCGCCGGGGCAGTGCCGGGGCACTGTCAGGGCAGTGTCGGGGCACTGCCAGGCTCAGGGCACTGCCGAGACGCTGCCGGGGCGCTGTCGGCACGAACTGAGGGCAGCCCCGCCTTGCCCGGCTCCAAGATGGCGGCGGCGGCCCCGGGGCGTGTCCCGCGGCCCCGGCCCCGCCCGGCTCTTCCGGCCGCGCCGCGGCCGCGCCGATGGCGGTGAATTACGCGGCCGGGCTGTCCCCGTACTCGGACAAGGGCAAGTGCGGCCTCCCCGAGGTGAGCGCGGCACGGCCGGTGAACCCCCGCCCGCCCGGGGCAGCCTCTGCCCGCCCGCGGCGTCCCCCGCCCGCCCGGGCCTCCCGCGGGCCCTGCGCGGCCCGGCGCGTTCCCATGGCAACCGCGGCCTCGGCCCCGCACCGGGGAGGCACCGGGCCCTTGGTGTGTCCCCAGCACATCCCGCGGCTCCCTCCCCGTCCCCCTTCCGTGGCTGCCTGTCCCCGGACACCCCGTGGCTCCCTCGACCCCCTCATGTCCCCCCCCAGGCCGCCCCCAGCTCCCTCCTCGTCACCCACCATGTCCCCCTCCGTGGTCTCTCTGAGCCCACACGGCGGGTCCCCCCATGGCTCTGTCCGTGTCCCCCCTGAGCCCCAGCGGTTCTTGGGAAGCTTAAAACGGGGTTTGGGGGGAGCCGCAGGGACATTGAGGAGCCTGTCCTGAGCCGAGGGGATGGTGAGGGGACGGGGACACACAGGGTCCTGTCCTCGTCCCTGTCCCCAGGAGACGGGGCTGGAGAAGCATCTCAGGAAGTAAATCTCGTGCCCAAACCAGTGTCCAGTGTCCCCACCTCCATGGCTCCCATGTCCCTCGCTGTCCCTCGGCCCTGCCCTGTCCCCAGAGCTGGTGGCACTGCTGGTGACAGCTGGGGCTCAGCACACCCCGGGTCGCTCCTGGAGCCCAGCCTGGGCCAGCTGCCTGTCAGAGCAGCAAACTCCCTGTTGGTGTTGGGTGTTCCCAGCCCTGTCCCTGCACAGAGATGCTCCAGACAACGCGGAGTCTCTGCTATTAAATGTTTCTGTCATTAAGGAAGGCGAAATTCTTCCTGGATAAGGAAGAATTGTGGGTTACTGGGGCTCTGGAATCATGGAATCCCAGAATGGTTTGGGTTGAAGGGACCTGAAGGATCATTCAGCCCCACCTCTGCCATGGCAGGGACACCTTCCACTGTCCCAGGCTGCTCCAAGCCCTGTCCAGCCTGGCCTTGGACATTCCAGGGATCCAGGGGCAGCCCCAGCTGCTCTGGGAAATCCATTCCAGGGCCTCCCCACTCTCACAGGGAAGGATTCCTTCCCATATAATCCACGCCCACATCTCTCCATCCCTCGCTGGGTTTTGTCTTTTCCCAGATTTTTGACCCTCCGGAGGAGCTGGAGCGGAAGGTGCGGGAGCTGGCAGAGCTGATCCGCAGCTCCTCCCATGTGGTGTTCCACACGGGGGCAGGGATCAGCACGGCCTCGGGCATCCCTGACTTCAGGTAAGTCCAGGGCTGGGAGGGTGGCACCCCCTCCATCTTCCTTGGTGGAAGGCTCTGATTTAACCCAGACCTGCCCCATCCCTGCTGTCCACCCTGGATCCAGCTGCAAACACCAGCACATCCCAGCTGTTGCCACAGAGTCCCCACATTGTTTGTATCAACCCTCAGAACCCTGCTGATCCACGAGCTCTGCTCCCAAGGATGGAGCACCTGGAGCCTGAGCTCTCCCTTCCTGCTCTTTCCAGGGGCCCCAATGGTGTCTGGACTATGGAAGAGAAAGGGCTCTCCCCAAAATTCGACACCACCTTCGAGAATGCCAGGCCCTCCAAGACTCACATGGCGCTGCTGGGGCTGCAGAGGGTGGGAATCCTGAAATTCCTGGTCAGCCAGAACGTGGACGGCCTGCACGTGCGCTCGGGATTCCCACGGTACTTCCCAGCCCCACACAGAGGGAATTCCCAGGGAATCCCTGCCCTGTCTGATACTGGGAGGGGAGGCTGGAAGGGGATAAACCAGCTGGAATTTAGAGGGAAGAGGTTCTGGTTCTGAGGCAGAGGGTCATGGAATGAATTGGTTGTTGCTGTCTAGAAATGCTTCTAGGCGCTGTTTGTGCACAGGAAAAACAGATTATGGAATAATGGAATCCCAGAATGGTTTGGGTTGGGAGGGACCTTAAAGCTTATCTCATTCCACTGTGCAGGTGTCTGTGCAGGGCCAGGGTTTGAATTCAGTGTGATCCCTGTGGATCCCTTCCAGCTCAGGATATTCTGTGATCCCTGGGAACTGTCAGGGATGGGGTTTGGAGCAGCCTGGGACAGAGGGAAGTGTCCCTGCCCATGGCAGGGGGGGTTGATCTTTTCAGGTCCTTTCCAACCCAACCCATTCTGTGATCCTGTGACTCAGGATGTGACTGAGGAGCATCCGTGTGTCTTTGGAGCAGGTGCCTCTCACAAACACCTTCAGCCAGAGCTGCCTCCAGGGGCTTTTCCTGTCATTACAAGCCCCAAGTGCTGGGTCCTGCTCCCAGCCCCGTGTTTGTGTGTTTAATCTAAACAGCCATGGGAAAAGCAGCAGGGAATGATGACAGAATTCCATGGTGCTCCCACAGCCCGCAGCCACTGGCTCCTGTTCAGTTCAGCCCAACTCTGCCTCCCAAATGAAGCCTGTGCTTGAGTAAGCTGAACTGGGGCCAAACTGGGGGAAATCAAGTCAGTCCTGTCTCAGGCAGCCTGGAGGAAGTTCCCAGTGAGCGTGGGGCTCTGAGGAAAACAGGGCCGTGTTTTCCTCTGGCTTCTGCTCTGAGCCTGAAGGGAATTTTAGGAAAAACAGGTGTCAGAGGGCTGGAACAGCACAGGGACAGACAGGAATGTTGGGTGCTGGAAAAGCAAAGATCTGGATGCTCCCAGGAGCAGAGATTTGAGTGGATCAGGAGCTGCAATCAGTGCTGCAGATGGAAACATTAAAATTAAAAGGCCAGGATCTGCTGTTCCTTCCTAAGTCCCTTTTGGGGGATGAACCCAGCACCTGGCAGGGCTGGAATGCAGAGAAGCCCTTAAGGTTCCTGGGGAGGAGGTGGGGTCCCCCCAGGGCTCCCCACCCTTCCCCAGCTCACCTGTGCCTTTCTCCCACAGGGATAAGTTGGCCGAGCTCCACGGGAACATGTTTGTGGAAGAGTGTGTGAAATGTGGGAAGTACGTGAGCCCTGGGGGAAACTGGGCTGGGATCCCCATCCCAGGGAGAAACTGGGCTGGGGTTCCCATCCTGGGGGAAACTGGGCTGGGGTTCCCATCCCAGGGAGAAACTGGGCTGGGGTTCCCATCCTGGGGGAAACTGGGCTGGGGTTCCCATCCCAGGGAGAAACTGGGCTGGGGTTCCCATCCTGGGCTGAGCTGGGCTGGGGTTCCCATCCTGGGCTGAGCTGGGCTGGGGTTCCCATGCCAGAGGGGAACTGGGCCGGGGTTCCCATCCTGGGGGAAACTGGGCTGGGGTTCCCATCCTGGGGGAAACTGGGCTGGGATCTCCATCCTGGGCTGAGCTGGGCTGGGGTTCCCATCGCAGAGGGAAGCTGGGCTGGGGTTCCCATGCCAGGCTGGGGTTCCCATGCCAGGCTGGGGTTCCAGGCCAGGCTGGGGTTCCCATGCCAGGCTGGGGTTCCATGCCAGGCTGGGGTTCCCATGCCAGGCTGGGGTTCCATGCCAGGCTGGGGTTCCCATCCCAGGCTGGGGTTCCCATCCCAGGCTGGGGTTCCATGCCAGGCTGGGGTTCCCATCCCAGGCTGGGGTTCCCATCCCAGGCTGGGGTTGCAGGCCAGGCTGGGGTTTCCATGCCAGGCTGGGGTTCCCATCCCAGGCTGGGGTTCCCATGCCAGGCTGGGTTTCCATGCCAGGCTGGGGTTCCCATCCCAGGCTGGGGTTCCAGGCCAGGCTGGGGTTCCAGGCCATGCTGGGGTTCCAGGCCAGGCTGAGCTGGCCTCTCCAGCCCCTCACGAGCAGCTCTGTCCCCACAGGCAGTACGTGCGCGACGCCGTCGTGGGCAGCATGGGGCTCAAGCCCACGGGACGCCTCTGCAGCGTCACCAAGGCCCGGGGGCTGCGGGCCTGCAGGTAGGGGGGTCCCTCCTGGGATGTGGGAGTGGGGCATGACCCCACAAATTGCCCCTCAGATTTGGGAGAAGCAAGGCCAAGGTGCAGGAGGATCTCTCTGGGTGCTCTCCATCCCTTCACAGTGTGGGGACAGGGAGGGTGGGACAGGCTCTGGTCATTGTCCCCTTTGCCCAGGGCAGCTCTGCTGCCTGTTCTCCTACCTTTTCCAGGGAAAACCATGGTCCCTGTGTGTGTTTTCCAGAGGGAAGTTACGAGACACTATTCTGGATTGGGAAGATTCCCTGCCCGACCGTGACCTGACGCTGGCAGATGAAGCCTGCAGGTACTGACACGCTGCTCAGGAGGGGAACAGTCCCTTCCCACCCCTCCATGCCCTGGTTCTGGATTTCTCTTCCTCCCTGCAGGAAAGCCGATCTCTCTGTCACCCTGGGGACCTCTCTGCAGATCAAACCCAGCGGGAACCTCCCGTTGATCACCAAGAAGAGAGGAGGGAAGTTGGTCATTGTCAACCTCCAAGCAACCAAACACGTGAGTGAGCTTCCTACAGCGCTGCACTGCTCCTTTCCCCTCCTGTCCCCTGTTCCAGGCCCATCCCAAGTTTGTCCCTGCACGTTGTCCCCTCCCAGGTGGCCTCTCTTAGCAGGCAAACAGGCTGGGAGTCCTGGGTTGGAGGGTTTACCCTGCAACTCCTGCTAAACACGTAGAGATGGCAGGTAAATATTAGAATCATGGAAAGGGCTGGGTTGGAAGGAGCCTTAAAGCTCATCCTGTTCCCTCTCCCATGGGTAGGGACACCTTCCACTATCCCAGGCTGCTCCAAGCCCTGTCCAACCTTATCCAAGTAAGTCTTAGGAGCAGAGTAAAAGCTCAGCCTGGAGGCTGCTGCGTCCTCTTGGGGTTTACAGCCCGATGGAAGGGCCACACACACAGAACCTATGGAGGATACGCTCAGTTCCTGCTCAGTTCCTGCTCAGATGTTGGTGCCCCAATCATCCAAAGTCTTTAATACCCAGACCTGGGGGTTCCCGGGATGTCACCAGAGCTCCCTTGTGCCTGTCACACTCTGTCCCTGCTCCGTCCCTGTGTCCCCATCCCCAGGCGTGACTCAGCCCACACCCCTGCAGAGCCCTGGGGCCAGCTCATGTCCCACTGGGAATGACACATGGGGGACATGGCCGTGTCCCTGTGAGGAGCCGTTTGTCCCCTGAGCCGTGTCCCCCTGTCCAGGACCGCCAGGCCGACCTGCGCATCCACGGCTACGTGGATGAGGTGATGACCAAGCTGATGAAGCACCTGGGGCTGGAGGTGCCCGAGTGGACGGGGCCGGTGGTGGTGGAGAGTGCCGAGCTGGCCAAGGGCGAGCAGGGGCAGCTGCAGGGGCGGCTGAAGGAGGAGCCCGCCCTGGGCCAGCACAACGGCACCGCAGCGCCCCCAGAGCGCCTCAAGCAGGAGTGTCCCGGCCCTGACACGGGGCCAACACCAGTGAAGAAGATGAAGGTGGAGCCTCTCCTCACCTGACCTGGACTGTCCCTGTCTCACCTGGGCTGCTTTTCCTACTACCGACTTTTTTTTATACCCTTAAATATTGTCCCTTTTTTTATGTCAGTATTAAACATACTTGAATTGTGGCTGGCGGAGCAGCTGCACCCATGGGCCTGAGGAGGGCCTTGCATAGAGATGTTCTTCCCTGTGAAGGTGGTGAGGCCCTGGAATGGAATTCCCAGAGAAGCTGTGGCTGCCCCTGGATCCCTGGAAGTGCCCAAGGCCAGGATGGATGGGACTTGGAGCACCCTGGGACAGTGGAAGGTGTCCCTGCCCATGGCAGGGGTGGCACTGGATGAGCTTTAAGATCCCTTCCAACCCAAACCATTCCATGACTCTGTAATTCCATGTCACTTGGTCATGGAAGGGGACTGGTGCTGGCTGGATCCCAGCTGGACTCAGGGCTGGGAGCTGTGGGAGGGTGCCCTGGCCCCAGCTCCAGGCTGGGCATGGCTGTGTGTCCCCCCACATTTCTGGGTCCCTCATGGCAGCTGGGCTTGAGGTCCCCCTGGCCCAGAGCTCCTTGAAACCTTGTGGATCACCCCCTCTTAAACTACAGCAGGTGGATTTTTTCCAAAATATCTTATATTTAGAGATGAAAATAAAATTCTAAAACCAAAAAACAAAACCAAGAGCAAAACCAACCAGTTGCACCATCAGCAGCCAACCAGGCCAGGGCCCCTCCTGCTTCCTCAGCCCCATCCTGAGTGACCTCAGGTCCTTTCCACAACTCCCACTGTGCCAGGGGGACAGGAGCAGCCCCTTTCCTCCAGTGAGGCCAGTGGGAACCAGTCTCCTCTTCCCAGTTCACAGAATCCAAGCAAAGCCAAGCAGGTCCAGCATCCAGAGGCAGATCCCAGAGGGGACCCCCGAGGGCGTGTCCTGTAGGGGACGAGGTGCTGGCACCCCGTGGCACCCCCGTGCTCCCTGCTCTGCCTAAAGCTCCTCCGCCGGCTCCAGCACCACGGGCCGGCCGTGCCCGGGCTCGGACCACGCCAGGGATGCCAGCCCCGGGTGTGGCACGGAGCCATCCCCTGGCACAGCCTCGGCCTGCTCCCTGTGCTCCCTGTGCTCATGGCTCAGCCCCTCGGAGCCTGATGCCCGTGTGTGGTTCTGGAGGGACCCTTTGGCCGGGAGTGCTGGGAATGTGTCCTGGAAAGCCTCGTGTGGGGTCCCGGGGGTCTCGTGCAGGGGCTCCGACCACAGCGGCTCCGGGGGCTTCTCCTCCCCGGCCTGGGGCTGGGTGTGAACCACGCGGGAGGCGGCGGCGTTGTGCAGGGACCTGGAGAAAACTGAGCCCCACGGAGGGTCAGGGCCTGGGCCAGGGCCAGGAGGGTCTGGCACAGCTTTGGCTCAGCTCAGCACAGCTCCAGCACAGCCCAGCACAGCCCTGGCACAGCCCAGCACAGCCCAGCCTCAGCTCAGCCCCAGCTCAGCTCTCACCTCGCACGGGCCTGAAGTCGCCGTTTGCCTCGGCCTTGCTGGGGGCAAAGGGGCTGATGGAGGGGAAGACAATGAGGGTGAAGGAGAGCAGCAGGACCTGGGGACAGAGGGGACATCACTGAGCACAGCAGGGGAGAGGAACCGGGAGCTGGGTCACAGCTGGTGGCAGACCCAGGAGTGCATCTATTCTTCCATCTCTCCCTTCTGGTTCATGTCCTACCAGTGCACCTCCCTCCATCCATCCATCCCTCCATCCATCCATCCATCCATCCATCCATCCATCCATCCATCCATCCATCCATCCATCCATCCAATCCCCCAATCCCTCCATCCCTCCATCCCTCCCAGCCCATCTCCAGGCTCCCAGGCTTTGGAGGCCCCACGCACCGCCAGGCAGGTCCCTGTCTGTGCTGCCTTGTTGCTGGACTGAACCACCATGGCCTGGAGCTTCTTCAGCTGCTCCAGGAGGGATCTGGGAACAGGGGGAGCCCATGAGCCTCCACGCCAACATTTCCCACCCCACCTTGTCCCCATCCCGCCCTGAGAGCACCTACGAGTTCTCCTTCTCCAGGTGCAGGACCTTCCTCTGCAGCTCCTGGTTCTGAGCCGTGCACGCCGACATCCTGGGACAGGGAGAGCAGCAGGGGCTCAGGGGACAGGGCTGGCAAGGAGCAGAGTGCCCGGGGTGCCACCCTGGGGGTGTCACCGTGCCCAGCTGAGGGGCTGGGCTCTGTACCTGCTCTCCAGCCCATCGATGTATTCCTTCTTCTTCTTGCGGCTCTCCTGGGCCGACTGCTTGTTCCGGATCTTCCTCCGGATCTTCTTCAGCACCCGCTCCTCGTACTGGGGGAGACACGGGGGGTCAGGGCCACCAGGGCTGGGTGTCCCCCTCCACACCCCCCAGGTGTCCTGGCACCCACCTTGGTGAGGGGCAGCTGCGTGGGCAGGGTCACCCCCTCCTTCAACAGCAGCTTCTTCTCGTCCTCTGTCAGCACCAGCTCCTGGAAGTGGCCCTGGCTCGGCCGGAGCAGGGAGCCAGGAGCCTGTGGCTGCTGTGGGGACACGGAATGGTGACACCTTGGGACACCCCCAACCTGGCCCCAGGGACTCTGGCTGGGACCATGGGCCAGGAAGGGACAGGGATCATAGACAAGGGCCAGGAAGGGAAGGGAACAAGTGTGGGGATGGGGAGGGGATGATCAGGGTGCAGGAAGGGACAGGGCTGGGGACAGGGAGTGTTGGGGACACAGGAACAGGACTCACATTGTCAGAGCTGCCTGAGAGCAGCAGGTCCTTGACGGTGAGGGCACAGGATGAAGGCGGGGGGACCACAGGCACTTCCTGGCTTTCCTCCAGGAAGAACCCAGGGTGCCACATGTCTGGGTGGGTGCAGAGCAGGGCTGTCAACAGTGCTGTGTCCCCACTGTCCCCACTGCAGGACCCTCCCCTGCCATGGCCCCAGAACCAGGGTGACTTGCTGCCCAGTCCAGTGCCCCTGACTCTGTCCCCCCCAAACTGTCCCTCTGGTCCTGCCCTAGTGCCCCCCACCATCAGTGTGCCCAGTTCACCCTAGTTCCCACTCTCTCCACACTGTCCCTATCTCCTCCCTAGCCCACCAGACCTCCCAGTTCTTCCCAGTTTCCCCCAGCCCCCTTAATGTCCTCACAGTCCCCCGCTCCCCCACCGTTCTCATCTCCCCAGTGTCCCCAGTCCCTCCAGTGCCCCAGCCCGGTCCTTTCCCAGCGTGGCTCACCCAGGTCAATGGAGACCTCGGGCTGCAGGACCCCTGACCCCGCTGGGAGAGGCTGGGCCTGGCAGGGGTCGGTGTAGGGGTACAGAACCTCTCGGGGACCCCCGTCACAGCTCCGGGGGGGGCTGTCGTGCTGGTCAGAGGGGGGGTCCTCGGACACCCCGCTGTCACTGGTGGCCGGGGACCAGCTGGGCGAGTCTGACACCGAGTCCCCGGAGCCCAGGACGGAGCTCAGGAAGTCGCTGCTGTCCGGGGCACGCTGTGGGGACAGGGCACTGTCACCGGGAGCCCCGGGGTGTGACATCCCAGGGCTGTCACCCAGCAGGGCCGAGCTGGGGCGGGCTCCGGCCCGGGGCTCACCCTGTCCTGGGGCCAGGCTCCCGGCGGCGTCCCCAGCTCCACCTCGCGCAGGATCCCGTCCTGGACGTCGAAGAGGAGATCCAGCAGGTCCAGGCTCTCGAGGCTGCCCACGCTGGAGGCCATGGCTGCGGGATGGCAGGGTCACTGCCCAGCCCAGGCCCTGTGGTACCCCCCAGAGCCACCCCCACACCAGCTGCACGGTCCCAGGGACACCCTGAGTCATGGGGCAGGGGAATGTTGGGATTCACCTGGAAAAGCCCTACAGGTGTGGGACAGGATGTGGGGGCTCCAGGCATGGCAGTGGCCCCCCCTCCTCCCAGCAGCCGAAGTTCCCAAATCCTCCAGTTTTCCACCCAGAGCTGCCCAGCCCAGGGGTTCCCTCCTGGAGGTGCTGGAAGGGCTGGTTAATCATTCTGGCAAGTGGAGGGGAGGCGACTGTGGCCACCGGTCACCCCAGGGAGGGGACTCGGCCCCAGGGAGGGGACTCAGTCCCTCACTGCTACCCCAGGCACTGCTCAAGACCCTGGCCTCAGAGCCATAGGCCAGCTGACCACTAACCCAACTGGCCAATCAGCCAACTGGCATCCCAGCTACCCGAGCAGCTGACCCACTGACCAACTGGTTGACCAGTCAGTCAATGAACTGATCAAGAGACAGACCAAATGGTCAACCTGTTGGCCAAATGACCAATGGATGGACTGCCCCAACAACCAGCCCACTGACCAATGGACTGACCAGTCAACTCTCTGCCTGATTGACCAACCAACCAACCAACCAACACACCACCCACCCAACTGACTCAAATGCCCTCCAAGCCAGATGGGGACAGTTGTCATTACTTGACATTTGTCTGGCCAAGGAGGACACGGTGGCCCTTCACCCTCAATCCTCTCAGAGAAGGCCCCATGGGATCTCGTTGAGCAGTGGCAGCCAGGACATACCTGAGAGAGATGCCATAGATTGTCCTCTCAGCCCTCTCTGAGCACAAGGAGCGCAGTGGACAACAAGCTCGGCCTTCACCCTCCTCCTCTTCCTCCTCCTTTATGATTCCCTGGCCCAAATGGCAAAGTTTAAACTTCAACTGCACAGAAATAATATCCTAGATTGCAAAATGTCCCAGCCCTGATTGGGGCCATCAGAGTGAGATGGCAGGGCCGCCCCGGGGCTGGACCCGTAACTCATTAGCCAAATGTTTTTGTGCTCTTCTGCCAAGCGGGGCAGGAGGGGCCAGGGCTGCCGGGCGAAGTCCAGGTGCTATAATTGTCCATGAACCTTCACCCACTTTTGGGGACAGTTTCCCTTTTTCAGACGTCTCGGCATTAATCACATTCGATGACTGCTAAGCGCAATATCCGGGGATGTTTGCTTGGGCTCTACCATTTGTGGATTATCCAAAACCACCTCAGTGCCCGGTGGTTCTCCCTGGAGAGAGACCATTGACAAGGGATGGAGGGACAGGACACGGGGAATGGCTTTCCAGGGACAGAGGGCAGGGATGGATGGGATTTTGGGAAGGAATTCCTGGCTGTGAGGGTGGGCAGGCCCTGGCACAGGGTGCCCAGAGCAGCTGGGGCTGCCCCTGGATCCCTGGCAGTGCCCAAGGCCAGGCTGGACACAGGGGCTGGGAGCAGCCAGGGACAGTGGGAGGTCTCCCTGCCATGGCAGGGGTGGCACTGGATGTGTTTAAAATCCATCCCAACCCAGCCCATCCTGGGATTCCATGAGTCCCTCATGGCTGTCTCGGGTTCACACGCTGCGCCAAACCCTCACCCCCCTACACTGAGGGGCACCAGCCCAACTGCAGCACCTGCGTGCCCTCAGTGAATGCCACCCGGGGCACAGGGAGGGGACAGAGATGACTAAGGCTCCGTGTGGCCCAGGCGTGGCGCGGGGACAAGGCCACGGCCCCTTATCGGCCGCCCCACGGCCTCTGCCCGGGCAGGCGGCGGCTGCTCCCCACTTTATGGCCCCGCCGGGACCGGGCAAAGGGCGCCCGCCCGGTGCCGCCACCCGGGGTCGTTCGGGGCCCCTCCTCAGGGGCCTCGGGGGTCCCGCGGCCCGGGATGGGGCATGGAACGGGATGGGCAGAGCAGGCAGGGGCTGAGGGGCTGCTGCCCGTTGCTGGGTCACTAATTAGTGCTTATTTAATTAACGCTCCGTCCACACAACCGGAGCCCCCCGGTGCCCCACGGGCGTGGAACCCCGGCCACAGGCACCACTGCCTTCTCCCCCTCAAAGAGATCTCGCGAGACTTCGCCCCGCCGCGCGTTCCTGTGCCGGTACGGGGCCCCGCCCCTCCGGGCCTTCAGCCCCCACCTCTCGGAGCCCCCGGTCCCGCCTCCATAGGCCCGATCGTGGCCCCGCCCCGGTACCGGCTTTCGCCCCGCCCCAGGCTCGGCCCCGCCCCCTATTGGCCGACGCTGGCCCCGCCCCGGCCCCGCCCCCGCGCGCCCCCGCGCCCGGCCGCGCCCCCCCGGCCCCGCAGGCGCGGCCCGGCCCGGCCATGCCGGCCAAGAGGAAGCCGGTGCTGCCCGCCCTCAACATCGCCCCCAGCGCCGCCGAGGGGCCCAGCCCCGACGGCTCCGCAGAGTGAGTCAGGCCCGGCCGGGACCGCCCCGGCAGCGGGGCTGGGCGTGGGGGGGACGCGGGGCCTGGGGGGGACACCGGGCCCGGGGCAGAGCGGGGAGGCCGGGACAGAGCGGGCACCGGGCCTGGGAGGTCGGGGCACGGCGGGCACGGGGCGTGGGGAGAGCCAGGGAAGGCCTGGAAGAGCCGGGACAGGTTTGGGGAGGCCTGGGAAGGTCTGAGGGGGAGCCGGGACAGGCTCGGGGGGACCGGGGAAGGCCTGGAGGAACTGGGGCAGGTCCGGGGGAACCGGGACAGGCCTGGGGGGCTGGATGGGCCCGGTCTGGGCTGTGTGGGGCAGGGAGGCAGAGCCGGGGGAGAAGGCTGAGGGCTGGAAGGGATGGGCTGGGGCAGGTGCGGATGGGAAGGGCAGGGGGAGGCTGCTCTGGCCCCCCCGGTTTGCTGGGGGGCAGCTCAGGGCCGGGGGGTGCCGGGCCCAGGAGCGGGAGGGAAACGGGCCTGGAGATCCAGGCTGGAGCTGGGATGGGGACCTGGGGTCTGGGGGGGACTTGGGGCAGCAGTGGGGGCGCGGCAGATGGGAGATGTGGGGTGAGAGGTGGTGGAGGGGGGTACAAGGGGTGCTGGGTGGAAGGGATGGGTGAGACCCTCCCGACACGTCCCAGTGTGGCTGAGGAGGGACAAGGGGGTGGCAGCAACTGGGACGGAGCAGCTGGAGCTGGCCCAGGCGGTGGGGGCTCGGCAGCTGCTGCCGGGGCAGCACAGACCCCCCTTTGTGCTCAGGATTTGGGGTGGGGGTGTAACAGGGCTGCTGGACCCCACGGAAAGCCCTTCTCAAGTTACACACCAAAGCCAAGTTTGGCTCCCCGGGACAGGGAGCAGCATCTGCTGCTGCCTCTTTAAGGGCCCAAGGATTCTTCCTGTTCCTTGGCTCTCCCAAAACACCTGACTGCTCCCAAGCTCCTCTCCAGAGGGGCTGTGTGTGCTGGGCAGGGACTTCTCCAGGTCTCCCTGTCCAGGTGATCCCATTGTTGGGGCTCAGGATATGTCAGGGGATGATTTTCCATCATTTCCTAAGAGCTGCACCCTCCTTTCCCTGGTGCTGAGCATCTCCCATCTCCTTCTTCCCTCTCCAGGGCTAACCTGGTGGACCTGCAGAAGAAGTTGGAGGAGCTGGAGCTGGATGAGCAGCAGAAGAAGCGCCTGGAAGCTTTCCTGACACAGAAAGCCAAAGTGGGAGAGCTGAAGGACGATGACTTTGAGAGGATCTGCGAGCTGGGCGCTGGCAATGGCGGGGTGGTCACCAAAGTGCAGCACAAACCCTCAGGGCTCGTTATGGCACGGAAGGTAACGAGGGGCTGGCAATGCTGGGGGGCACCTGGAACTCTCCCTGGCTCGGGGAGGGCTGGGTTTGGTTGGATTCTCTCTGCATTTGCACCTTCACCACCTCACCATGGCCAGGAGCAGAGTCCTGGCTGCTCCCAGATGGAGTTGTGTCCTTTGGAGAGGCTGCACTCCCAGTAACAGATCCCTGGGCTCTGGAAAATGGGAGTTTTTTTGGGTTTTTTTCCCCAGTTCTGATGGAGAAAGTGACTGGAATTGGCTGGGGAAGTGGCAGTGGGAAGGATGGGTTTGGCACACACATCCCTCAGCCCCATTTGTCACATCCCAAGGTCATTCCAAGCAGGGACAGAGGTTCCTCAGACAGAGGTTCCTCTCAGACTTGGCCTCATTGGGAACATCCACTGTGGTGCCACGGAGTAGAAAATCAGGAGCTGCTTCACCTCCCTAATGGGAGAGGCTGTGCTTGGCAGGAGCAGCACAACCACTGCTCTGCCTCCTCCAGAGTCTCTCCTCCCTCCTGCTGCTGGGATCGTGGAATCCTGCCGTGGTTTGGGTTGGAAGGGGCCTTGCAGCTCACCCAGTTCCAGGGGCAGGGCCTCCTTTCACCAGCCCTGGGTGTTTCCCTCCCTGCTCTGCTCTGACCCCACGTGCGGCCCCAAAAGCCGCTGCTCGTTCTTGTGCAGAACCTTCACAGGGGCTTTTTCTTTTCTGTGGTTTCCTTGATCTGGGAGCACCTTCTTACAACACCTCCAGAGCTTGTGAAAATGCTCCTGGCTGCTGACTCAGAGGGGCTGAGATCAAACTCCTGACTCGTCTTTCCACCCGTGTCCGGTGCAATCCCGGCGCCTTCCACGGCTGAGGCAGCACAGAGTTCTCCCTGTGCCTCCATCCTGGGATCCCACACTGGATGGGGTTGGAGACACCTTCAACCCACCCAGTCCCACCCCTGCCATGGCCAGGGACACCTTCCACTGTCCCAGGCTGCTCCAAGCTATGTCCAACCCAGCCCTGGGCACTTCCAGGGGCAGCCACAGCTTCTGTGGGAATTCCATTCCAGGGCCTCACCCCCCCTGCCAGGGTTTATTCCCAATATCCCATCCATCCCTGCCCTGGGAAGCCATTCCCTGTGTCCTGGCACTTCATCCTTAATATTAGTCTGCAAATGGGAAAAATTCTGCTCCAGAGCAGCGCCTCCCTTGGAGATCTGATTTCCTCCCAGCACTCAGGGCTGCTGCCCATCAGTTCTTTTCCTTCCCAGGAGTCACACACCTTGCCTGTTTTCTCTCTCCTGGCAGCTGATCCATTTGGAAATCAAGCCAGCCATCAGGAACCAGATCATCCGGGAGCTGCAGGTGCTGCACGAGTGCAACTCCCCCTACATCGTGGGCTTTTATGGAGCCTTCTACAGCGACGGGGAGATCTCCATCTGCATGGAGCACATGGTGAGTGAGTGAGCGAGGCCCTGCCCTCCCTGCAGCCTCCCAGTGCCCTCTCCCTGCCAGCTCAGTGCCCTGGGCCACTGGCAGCTCCTTGTCCTGGCCACTCTGCTCCTGGTGGGAGCCACACATTCCTGCCCAGGGCTCGGAATGAAGGAGACAGCGACGTTTGGGAAGAGGAAGCAGAGGTTTGGGGCTTGGCCAAACGGAAATGTTGCCAACCCACTGCTCTGCAGAGCCTGCTGAGAGGCTCAGTGGACACATTCTGTTCTTTCTGGTGGAGAATTATGTTATTTCTCCTCCAAATCAGCACTATCTTGGCATTTCCAGTGATGGAAGGAAACAAAGATCCAACAGCAAGAAGCAGAGCTGTTAAAAAAACAGTTTTCAGTGATAAACCTGAGCTCAGATGACCAAATCTTTTTTTTTTTGGCTGAAAAAGGAGTGTGCTCAATGCTGGTCACCCCCCACCTGCTGCCCTGTACATCCAGCTGCTCTGTTTTCCTGCTGGGAATTGCTGTGTTGGTCATTCCCATGTTCTTGGTTTCAGGATGGTGGCTCTTTGGATCAAGTGCTGAAAGAAGCCAAAAGAATTCCTGAGGAAATCCTGGGCAAAGTCAGTATAGCGGTGAGTGGTGGGGCTGCTCAGGCTTCCAGGGGGGGATTTGCTGGGCAGGGATTGGGAATAATTCCTGGGCTGTGTTTCCCAGTCCTGGGGACTTCACTTTTCCTGGGCCAAGAGGCCAGAGCAGAGGGGAAATATTCCCAACCCCTTTCCCCCTGGATAATGTTGGCTTCACTTCGAGGAGATTTGGGAGAAGCTTTTTTGGGGTGGTTCACCCAAAATCTGTGATGGAACTGGGGATGAATTGGAAACCCTGAGGGACGTGGGCACCACAGGGCAGCTCTCCTTGAGCTGGGGGCAGAGCTCTCCCCTGAGCTCTGCTCTGATCCAGCCTTTGGGTTCCTCCCAGGTTCTGCGGGGCCTGGCCTATCTGCGGGAGAAGCACCAAATCATGCACAGAGGTGAGAGCAGGACCCCGAAAATCCCAGCCTGCAGTGCCAGGTGTCACCCAGAGCCACCTTCACACCCCCCTCTCTCTATCATTGTTCCCAGATGTGAAACCCTCCAACATCCTGGTGAATTCCCGAGGGGAGATCAAGCTCTGTGACTTTGGGGTCAGCGGGCAGCTCATTGACTCCATGGCCAACTCCTTTGTGGGAACTCGGTCCTACATGTCTGTAAGTTCCTTCCACCTGGGGTTTTTGGGTCGTTTGGGTTCATCTCAGCTGTTTCCATCCCCATCCTGTTCACAGGGACACTTTCCACTGTCCCAGATTGTTCCCAGCCCCGTCCAGCCTGGCCTTGGACACTTCCAGGGATCCAGGGGCAGCCACAGCTTCTCTGGGAACCTGTGCCAGGGCCTCCCCACCCTCCCAGGGCAGGATCCTGAGGTCTGAGCTGCTCCTGTATTTTGGGAATGGTTATTCAAGTGCAGTTATAGTTAGACAGGGGCTATTTAAAAATCCTGTCCCCTCTGCTCCTAGGCCCTGGCTCCAGGCTGCCTCAGAGCTGCCAGTGGGGATGACTTGCATGGATTGATTCATTTCTGAATTTTTTTTTTCTTTTAATGGTCATATCCTCGAGGGGATTTTCTGCTCCTCTGGTTCCTTTTGGGTGTTAACAGCAGAGAGCAGGAAAATACATTTTTATGGATAAGTTGAGTTCCTTAGATTTCAGCCCACAGAGAAATGGATTCCTGCTGGGTGTTCCAGACTCCCAAACACAAGTAGCTGGGAATGCTGCTGAGTTGGGAGTGTGGATAAGATGCTCCAAGTGCTTTTTGTCTGCACATGATTTTTCTTTGCCATCCCCTTTGCACATGATCCTTCTGGGCCTTTCCCTGGAGAGCTGCCATGGAGAGGCCTTTGGGATATTACAGAATCCCAGAATGGTTTGGGTTGGAAGGACCTTAAAGCCCATCCAGTCCCACTCCTGCCATGGCAGGGACACCTTCCCCTGTCCCAGGGGGCTCCAGCCTGGCCTTGGGCACTGCCAGGGATCCAGGGGCAGCCCCAGCTGCTCTGGGCACCCTGTGCCAGGGCCTGCCCACCCTCACAGGGGGGAATTCCTTCCCAATCTATCCCATCTGTCCCTGCCCTCTGTCTGTGTGAAGCCATTCCTTGTGTCCTGTCCCTTGTCCAGAGTCCTTCCCCAGTTCCCTTGGAGCCCCTTCAGGCACTGGAGGCTGAGTCTCACCAGTACAGGATATTTGTATTTGGTGTCCCATGTTAGCCCATGTTCCTGTGTCCTGAGGGTCCGTATCCCATGTCAGTGGATGTTCCTGTGCCCTGGGCACCAGCATTCCATGTCACCCTGCATTCCCTGTGCCCTGGGTGCCATTATCGCCCATTCCCAGGGCCATTATCGCCCATTCCCAGGGCCATTATCGCCCATTCCCATTCTCCCTGAGCCCCTCCCTGTGCTCTCCCTGTTATCCCCATTCCCAGTGCCATTATCACCCATCCCCATTCCCCTGAGCCCCTCCCTGTGCTCTCCCTGTTATCCCCATTCCCATTCTCCCTGAGCCCCTCCCTGGGCTTTCCCATTCCCAGTGCCATTATCCCCATTATCCCCATTCCCATAACCCCCATTCCCAGTGCCATTATCCCCATTATCCCCATTCCCATTATCGCCCATTCCCAGTGCCATTATCCCCGTTATCCCCCATTCCCATTATCCCCCATTCCCATTATCCCCCATTCCCATTATCCCCCATTCCCATTATCCCACATTCCCATTATCCCACATTCCCAGTGCCATTATCCCCATTCCCAGTGCCATTGTCCCCCATTCCCATTATCCCCATTCCCATTCCCATTATCCCCATTCCCAGTGCCATTGTCCCCATAATCCCCATTCCCAGTTCCATTTCCCCGTTATCCCCATTCCCATTATCCCCCATTCCCATTCCCATTATCCCCAGTGCCATTATCCCCATTATCCCCATTCCCATAATCCCCCATTCCCATTATCCCTGTTCCCAGTGCCATTGTCCCCATAATCCCTCTTTCCCAGTGCCATTGTCCCCCGTTATCCCCATTCCCATTATCCCCATTCCCATTATCCCTCATTCCCAGTGCCATTGTCCCCATAATCCCCCATTCCCAGTGCCATTGTCCCCCGTTATCCCCATTCCCATTATCCCCATTCCCATTATCCCCATTCCCAGTGCCATTATCCCCGTTCCCAGTGCCATTATCCCCATAATCCCCCGTTCCCAGTGCCATTGTCCCCATCTCCCCCGCAGCCCGAGCGCCTGCAGGGCACGCACTACTCGGTGCAGTCGGACATCTGGAGCATGGGGCTGTCCCTGGTGGAGCTGTCGATCGGAAGGTACCCAATCCCCCCGCCAGACTCCAAGGAACTGGAAGCAATTTTTGGCCGTCCTGTGGTGGACGGGGCGGAGGGAGAGTCCCCCAGCATCTCGCCGCGGGCCAGGCCCCCAGGACGCCCCGTCAGTGGTAGGGGCTGTGGTGTGCATCGGCAGCAACGCTTCCATGGGGGATCCGCGGGGTTGGGGGGCGGCTGGGGGAGCTGCCCCGCAGGAGGCGCTGCCGGGGGAGGCCGCAGCCGTTCCTGCGCAACACAGGTTGGTGGAATCCCGCTGGGGAGGGACCTCTCAGGATGGGTTTGGGATCTGTCCGTCCGCGGGCTCCCGAGATCCTCCCGTGTCCCGCAGAAAGGCCGTGGGCGCAGCTGGAATGGGGCTCCCGTGGAGAGGATGGCTTGAGGGACGTTGTCACAGCCCCTGTGCTGCCAGCGGGTTCTTCTCAGGCCTCGGGCAGCTCTTTGGGAAGAGCTTTGCTGGGAGCTCTCACAGAAGCACCAAACAGCAGCAGGATTCCAGGGGTGCTCTGCTGGAGCCGTTTCCTTGGGAGCAGAAGGCTCTGGAAGTGCTGCCAGCCAGCCAGAGTCGATGGTCTGGTGCTGTCCAAACATAAATAAATCTGGACGGGAGGTCTGGTGAAAGAAATCCAAATTCTGGGAATGAAGTTGGTTTCTCTTTAACCATGACTCAGTTCCCCTGGGAGTTGCCTCAGCCTCTCCCAGCAGAGCTCCCCCAAAGTTGTGTTTTTCACCCCAAACTGAGCCCTGAGCAGCCTCTCAGCACCATTTGTGTCGTGTCACCCCCCAGGCCACGGGATGGACACCAGGCCTGCCATGGCCATCTTTGAGCTGCTGGATTACATCGTTAACGAGGTGGGTGCTTGCTTTCCCAGAGCTTCCTCAGGGATGTTCTGCTCTGCTCAGTCAGGCTGGGATCTGGAATGTTTGGTCACTCATGGAATCCCAGCATGGTTTGGGTTGGAAGGACCTTAAAGCTCATCCGGTGCCACCCCTGGGACACCTCCCACTATCCCAGGCTGCTCCAGGGATCCAGGGGCAGCCACAGCTGCTCTGGGAAATCCATCCCAGGGCCTCCCCACCCTTACAGGGGGGAATTTCTTCCCAAAATCCCATCTAAACCTTCCCTCCCTCAGTTTAAGGCCATCCCCCTTGTCCTACCCAACTTGCAAGGACAGGTCTCACAAACAAGTGGAGAAAGGGCAGCCTCCCTTTCCAGGGTGATGGAAAATTCTCATTTTCGGATTATTTCATCAGCCCTAGGCATGGCCAGAGCTGGGATTTGTGAGGTTGGATTTAGGATTGGGATGCTTGGTGATTTCCCAGCTTTGGCTGGGGTTCAGTGTGGGGTCCCCCGGGTGCAGAGCGAGCTGGAGCAGCAGGGGAAGGAATGGCAGGGAAGGGTTTTCCTGGCTGGAAAAGCAGTGAGGATGAGGAGGATGAGAGTGTCTGTAGAGCACAGCTCCCTGACACTGATTTTTGGCACAGTAACACAGGAGTGGTGCAGGAACCCCTTTTCCTTCTCTCCACAGCCACCTCCCAAGCTGCCAAGTGGAGTCTTCACGCAAGATTTCCAGGAGTTTGTAAATAAATGGTGAGGATTTCATCTCCTGGCTGAAGGTGGAGGCTTGGATGTGCTCCTTGACAGCTCTGCAGCTCCACCCTCTGTGTTCTGCCTGATCTCCCTCTCTCCCTGCCTGATCCCACCTTGTGCTGGGAGCTCCTGTTTGGGAAGGGTTGCAATAAAAGCATTTTATTTGTGGGGCTGCTGAGCAGGATCCCAGCCCCTCCTAAATCTGAGCCTGGCAAGGGGGGGTGGTGGAGCAGATCCTGGGGCTGAGTCACCCCGTGGGCACAGGGACACCTGAAGGTGCTGCCAGAGCTCCCAGTAAAGCAGAGCTTGGATATTAAATCCCAGATTGCTGCCAAGCTTTGGGGCCTTTTCTCCATTTGCAGGGCACAATTTGTCCCCACAGTGTGGAGGAGATGGATCCTGCAGCTCTCCCTGGGAGCTGAGCTGGCAGGGATCCCTCTCCCAGGATCCTGAGGGGCTCTGGGGGAAGCTGGAGCTTCCTTCTCCAGCCTGATCCCCACATTCCCACAAGGAATCTCACCTTGGCTTCCCTCTCTCGTTCTTCTCATTTCAGCTTAATTAAGAACCCAGCAGAACGAGCAGATCTGAAGATGCTGATGGTGAGTGGGGAGAGGATTTTTCTGCTGCACTGGGGTGGCACCGGCTCTGCCAGCTGCTGCCTCATCCCTCTTGCTCCAAAGGCTGGGAATTCCCAGGATGGGGCAGAGCGTGGGACTGGCCCCCTTTATCCAGGGGCAGTGCTGGATCTCTGCTGGGACAGCCCTGGCTCCTCACCTGGGCAGGTGGGGGGCACTGAGGGCTGGTCCCAGCTGTGCTCCCATCCCAGAGATCCAGCAGAGTCCTGGGAAAGGGGGGGGATCAGGTGAGACCCTACCTGCAGAGCTTCTCCAACAGCAGAAGGGCCTGGAGCTGCTGGGGGAGTCCAGAGGGGGCCTGGAGCTGCTGGGAGAGTCCAGAGAGGGCCTGGAGCTGCTGGGGGAGTCCAGAGGAGGGCCTGGAGCCCCTCTGGAGCTCTGGCAGAGCTGGGGGTGCTCACCTGGACAGGAGCAGCTCCAGGGAGAGCTCAGAGCCCTTCCAGGGCCTGAAGGGGCTCCAGGAGAGCTGGAGAGGGACTGGGGACAAGGGGTGGAGGGACAGGACACAGGGAATGGCTCCCAGTGCCAGAGGGCAGGGCTGGGTGGGATATTGGGCAGGAATTCCTCCCTGTGGTGGTGGGAGGGCTGCAAGGAACAAATATTTTCCCCAAATCCTCTTTTCCTGCCTCAGCTGTGGCACCAGGATCTTCCCCCCCTCTCCAGGGCATATCCCACAGCACAGGGCTGGCTTTTTGGGAGCTGGGATGGTCCTCTGGGCTGTTCCTGACCGTGTTTTCCCCTGTGCTTGCAGAGCCACACGTTCATCAAGCGCTCCGAGGTGGAGGAGGTGGATTTCGCGGGCTGGCTGTGCCGGACGCTGCGGCTGAACCAGCCCAGCACTCCCACCCGAGCTGCCATGTGAGCCCGGCCCGGCCCTCCTGCCTCTGGCACCGCTTCCTCTCCTCCCTGCAGGGCACAGCTGCCCCTCCTTCCTCCCTCCCAGCGCCAAAGCTCCGGCCCCGGGCTGGCTCCATCCTCCCGGGGCTGCCCACCGGGGTCGCTCCCCTGGGACCTGGGGGTGTTCCAGGCCTCTGCTCCAGCTCTGGAGCTCCTGACACTTGGGAATTGTGGTGCTGCTTATGTTGTTTTTTTTCTTTATTTTGGGTTTCTTTTTGTTTTGGTTCGGTTTTTTGGTTTTTTGTTTTTTTTTTTTTTTTGGAAATGCGTTCACTGGGGTTAGAAAGGAAGGGGATGGGGGGTGTGAGGTGGTGCAGGATGAGGGGCAGCTGGTGCTTCACCCCATCCCTGGTTTTCTCTCCGGGATGGAGAATCGGTGGGATCAGGAATGGAGAAACCCTGCCTAGGGTGGCCCAGAGCAGTGTCCCTGTCCTGCCTGGGGCCACAGCTGGGCTCTGGGCTGGGGCAGAGCAGGGATTGCTGTTGGGTTTAAATCTGCTTTAAACGGTTCTGATGGAGCCTGGCTTGTCCTGAGCTGGATGTTCAGGGGAGGGGCTGGATCCATGGGGATGGGGATGGGGATGGCTCCCACTTTCCAGTGTCCAGGTGAGGGGAGAGCGTGGATTTTGGATTTTCCTTCCCTGGAGAGGTGGAGGCAGAGCCCGGCCGTTCCCAGCAGCCATGCCCAGGCTTGGGGTCCCTCTCCTGACCCCATCGGGGGCACAGGGCTGCATTTTCCCCCTCCAGGCTGCATTTTTCCCCCTCCAGCTGCCTCCAGCCCGTCCCAGGGCTGGCCTCAGCCATTGTGGACGTGGCAGAGCTCCAGGATTCCCTGTCAGAGCCCCCTGGCCAGGGATGAACCCACCCCGAGCCCACGTTGTCCCTGGATTGTCCCTCCCATCGAGGACCCTGCAGCCCCCAAGGCCCCTTCCCACCCCGTGGATTTTGGGGTGAATTATTCCTCTCCTCCCCCCCCCATGTGGGCTTGGCAACACCTGAGCCCCCCGTGAGGATTTGGGAATTTTTTGGTGTTTTCCTTCTATTTTTTTGGCTGTTTTTCACTCAGTCAGGCTGGCAGCTGCCATCCCCCTGCCTGCCCTGGGTCCCACCATGGCAGCCCCCCCAAAAATTAACTACCAAGGCTGGGTACCCCCAAACCCCTCATCCCTTTTCCTTTCCTGTTTTTCAGCACAGGACAAAGGCACTGCCCTGCCTGGGGCCAACCCACAGGGCAAACACATCCCCAAAGGGGGAACACCCCAATTTTTCGGGGGGAACACCCCAATTTTGGGGGGAACACCCCAGATTTGAGGGGTCTGTGCTTGCTGGCCCAGCTCATGCCCAGCCAAGCCCCCCTGGAGCCGTGGGGTGCTCAATGTGATGGATTTTGCCTCTTATTTCATGTGGGAAGCAGGGAAGGTTCCTCGAGTTTCGGGCTATTTTCCATCGGTTTTGGTGCTGGGTTTTGGAGGAGGAAGAGGAGGAAAATGAGGATGATGAAGAGGAGAGCGTGGATGGAGCAGTTTGGTGGTGCAATTAATTTTTTTTTTTTTTTTTTTTTAAAAACTCGATATTTTCATCATGGACGGGGAAAGGGAGGGGGGGAAAAAATAATAAATAAACGGCACTTTACATTTCCAGGTGGTTTTCTCTCCTCGGTTGTGCCCGGGGTGGGGTTTAACCCCTTTGGAGCCAGAATTCCAGCCGGGAGCTGTCTCTGGGAGCTCTGGTGGCTCTCCCTGGGCTCTGCTGGCCACTGCTGCCTCCAGTGGGAGCCGGAGACACCGGAATTATCCCGGCACGAGGCAGCCCCGGCCCGGGATGGATGCGGAGTCCGAACACCTAAAAATCCAGTTGGAAATAATTGGGGGGTGAAAAATAATTGGGGGGTGGAAAATATTTAGGGGTGAAAAATATTTAGGGGTGAAAAATATTTGGGGTGAGCAGGAGCTGGGTGAAGCGGAAAAAAAACCCCCAAATTTGGCCCAAAATTGGAAAATATTTTGCAGTTTTTGGGTTGTGAACGATGCAGGGGCTCAGGGGGTGACACCAGCATGGTGCCATCCCTAATTCCAGGCTCCTGGGACATTTTTTTGGGGTCCTGTGGTGCCATCTCTAATTCCATGCTTGTTTTAGGACGTTTTTTGGGGGGATCCCATGGTGCCATCCCTAATTCCAGGCTCAATTTGGGACATTTTTTGGGGGGATCCCATGGTGCCATCCCTAATTCCCGGCTCCTTCTGGGACATTTTTGGGGTCCCATGCCGTGGTGCCTGACTCCAGGCTCCCGTGGTGTTGTTTTGGGGGATCCTGCTTTGTTTTTTCCTGGTGTTTTGGGGTCCCCCAGGGCTCTGGGGTGCCCTGGAATGCACTCACTGCACCCCTGGGAGCTGTGCCAGGCTTTGGTGGTGCCAGCTGGGAATGGGGGGGGTCCCATGGGGTCCCCAGGATGGGGGATGACCACGGTCCTTGTGCCACAGTGGGATTTTGGGGGTGCAGGGAGGAACTGGGGGTGCCCAGCCAGGCTGGCAAAGGGGGGGTCCCCAACCCCTGTTCAGTTTATGGGGTACAATGGGGGGGGGGGTTCTACAGCTGATTTTGGGGGGGTCTCGGTGCGGGGGGGGCACTCTGGGGGTTGATATTTTGGGGGGGGCCCCCCCCGGGCGTGCCCCGGGCGTGCAGGGGGAAAGCGAAAGCAGTCGGGAGCTGGGGCTGCTGGGGCAGGGTGGGGACGGGCCCGGGGTGCAGCCCCCCCACCCCAAACCCCACCCCAAAACCTCCCGGAGCCTCCCCCCGCTCTGGCTGGGGGCTCAGGGACCCCTCAGTCCCCACCCCCGGCCGTGCTTCCCCGTCCTGCCTCAGTTTCCCCACCTGCTCAATGGGGTTAATGACCCAAAACCCCCCTGAAACCTCCCCAAAATCCCCTCGGGGGGCGGGGGAAGGGTGAGGGGCGGGGGGGGGGGAGCTGAGCCGGGGTTATTTAAGGGAAAAAAGGGGAAAAAGGGGAAATCCCAGCGTGGAACGGGACCCCCCGAGGGGGGGAAGGGGGGGTGTCGATCAGAGCTTTGCTTTTCTCGCTTTCTCTTCCTTTAACGAACTCGAACCCCCCCTCCCCGAGCAGGAATTCCAAATGCACCCGAAATTTTCGCTTTTCCACGCGGCCGGGAAGGCGCTGGAATTCCGGGAGCCGTTCCCTGCCGGGCTGGGGGTGGCCCGGCCCCGCCCGGGTGGGGACAGCCCGGCCGTGTCCCCGTGTGTCCCCCCCCGGGCCGGGCGGGCCCGCAGCCCGGGCTGCTCCCGTCCTTGCCAGGCTGGCTCCGAGCCCACCGTGACCTTGGGCTCCGTGTCCCCTTCCCCCAGCGGGCCACGGGGGGGACACGAGTGGCACGGAGGGGCTGGGGGGACATTGAGGACACCGAGGGTGGCACGTGGTGCCTTGGGGAGGTGGCCTGGGAGGGACATTGTGGGGCGGGGGGCGTGCGGAGGTGACACACCGGGGTGGGGTGACTCGGGGAGGTGGCCCTGGGGGGGACCCGAGTGGGGTTGGGGGGACAGGGAGGTGACCTGTGGGGACACGCGTGGATCTGGGGGCACGGGGAGGGGGTGACGCGTGGGTGAGGTGAGCCAGAGGTGACCCGAGGGGTGACACGAGTGGCTTTGGGGGTGTGGAGCATGAAGGGTGACCCAGAGGGCCCGAGGGGTGACACCCGTGGGGCGACACCCGTGGGTTTGGGGACACAGAGGTGCCCCAGGGGGTGACAGGTGGGCAGGGTGACCCAGAAGGGACCTGCGGGGTGACACCCGTGGGTTTGGGGGCCACAGAGGGGCCCGAGGGGGTGACACGGGGGCAGGGTGACCCCAAGGGGCTCAGAGTGGGGACACGAGTGGGTTTGGGGCCGGTGAAGGTGCCCCGGGGGGTGACACGAGGGGGTCAGGGGGACACCAGGGTGACCCGTGGGATGGCCCGTGGGCAGAGTGACCCAGAGGGGACCTGGGGGTGGCCCCGTGGGGACACGAGTGGCTCTGGGGTCTGTGTGACACTCACAGAGGGGGGAGGTGACACCATGTGACACGCGCGGGTCTGGGGTCTGTGTGACACTGACGGGGACAGGGGGACACGCGTGAGTCTGGGGTCTGTGTGTGTGACACTAACGGGGGAGAGGTGACACCGTGCGACACGCGCGGGTCTGGGGTCTGTGTGCCACAGAGGGGGGAGGTGACACCGCGCGACACGCGTCCCGCGGTGGGGGGGGTCCGCGGGGTCCCCCCTGGGGTCTCCCCCGGCCGCGCCCCCCCCGAGCCCCCCCCGCGCTGCGCCCCCCCCCGGCCGGAGGCGGCTGCGCCCCGCGGGGGGGGCGGCGGGCGGGGGGGGCGGCGCGCGGCCCCTTTAAGAGCGGGGCGGCCCCGGCCGGAGCAGGAAGGAGCCGCATACGGGCCTCGGCGAGCAGCTCCCGCGGGGCGGCCAGAGCCTGCTCCGCCCGCCCGCACGGCCCGGCCCGCCCGCCTCGGCACGGCGCGGCCCGCTCCGCTCGCCCGGACCGCTCGGCCCCCGCCCGGTACGGAACTGAGGGGTGGGCGCGCATGGAGAGGGCGGGGGGGGGGGGGGGGGGGGGGTCGCGCATGGGGGGGGTGGTTCGGGCCTGACCCTCCCCCCCCTCCCCGGGGGTGGTGGGGGGCAGTGGGGGGTGGGGAGGGGTCGGTTGCGTCCGTTGCGGAGGGGGGGTGGGGGCTGCCCCCCCCTCCGCCCCCCCTCCGTATACGTTGTACTTGGCCGGGCCGTGCTGGGGGGGTCGCGGAGGGGGGGGGGGGGGAAGGGTTGGGAGCGGGGAGGGGTGGGGGGGAGCGCTGCGCGGGGGTTGCCGGGAGTTGTAGTCCCTCGGCGGCGCCGCGCCGCAGGTGCCGGTGGGCGAGCGGACTGCGCTCCCCGGCGGCCCTCGCGCGCGCGGCGAGCGGGAGGCGTGTTGATAGGCAGCGGGCGGGGCCAATCGGGGCGCGCCCTCCGCCCCGCGCACCCGCCCCGCCCGCCGCCGCCCGGCCCAATGGCGGGCGCCGCGCGGGGTGGCCGGGGACGGGCGCGGCGGGGCCTGCGCGGCCCCCCCCACCCGGGCCCGCGACCCCCGCCCGGGCCGGGCCCCGCCGCGACCCCCGCCCGCCCCGCCGCCCCCGCGGGGCCGCCACCGACACTTTCCCCCCCCCTCCTCCCCCCGGCGCCCCCCGCCCCCGCCTCCCCCCG